CGGCAGGAGAAGTGCAAAAACGCATAATCGCACCGGCTCGCCTGGTGCGTTCCAGCCTGGGTTATGTACACAAATGCAAAAAGCCATAGAAATAATTGCACATATTTCGAAATAAAAATTAATTTCGACTAAAAAGAAAAGCAAGACCGTTGCAATGAAATCCATGAGCCATGGTTTTTCGGTGAGCCACGAGTCGTCCTTCAAGCGTGTTTCTCCAAATGGCACCCACAGCATAAAATCACGTGTTGCTCGAAGATTATCAGGATATCCAGGCAGATTGTCCATCACAACGCTGAAGCTTCCATACCCGGATGCCAAACAATGTCTAAACATAATGAGTTTACTTAGACTTCGAAGTTACAAAACAGTAAGTTAAATTATTTCCCATGATTTCCGGGATGAAAAGTTTTTCCACTTTTTCTTAAATTCAATTCTTGACCAGTAAGTTTTTGTTCATTTTGAAAAGAATGGAGTTATTTCCAACAGAATTTCAATGAGACTACGAACTCATTCAGGTCTGCATTGAGAAAAACAATTACTTGAGTATTCGTAAATTGCCCATTTCGGAGAAAAATACACATCTTTCGAGGTAATCGAACTGCACACCATTTGGATAGTACAGGCCATCGACAAGTACGGTGAGTTCATTCGAGGGGAAATGGTAAAGCAGTAACCTGTAAATCATCAATATTAGCATATTTTTGTCTAGATTAATTGGATGATTTAGTCCAATCCGCAAAGAATCACGCTCTGCAGCTGAAGAGTAAGAGTGCGTTGACCTTTTGCTAGTAATGCGAATAATAGCTCGCCAAGCTATGTAAACTTACCTTCCATCAGGTTTGTGCTCAAAAAGTGCCAAAAGGTAGTCACGGTCAGCAAAATGATTTGAGGGCTCGCTGAGGACAATCATTGTACCATCGCTAGTGATATCGAAATCATTGAAATGCCTAATAGGGCTTGCCGTTGAATTATTTGCTATTTTGGTCCCGGGAGCCAAAATTTCTTTTCCTAGTCCTGAAAAGCATGCATTTTAAGAACAGTAAGCAAGATTGGAGGGCACTTGGAGGCAACAGTCGGCAGTGGAAGGCAAAACAAAACTGTACAAAAGAAGCAGAGCCAGAAATACAGAAGAGAACTGTTGCTGTACAAAAGTACAGTAGTGACACTGAAACAGACATCAGATGAAGAACTGAACAAACATGGAGAGCATAGTAGAAAAATCTACTTTCTTCTCTCTCTTTCTCTCTGCTTTTTCGCATATCAGTCTTGCAAATTAGTCACATGCGAAACTCGAGCTGAAACTATCTACAAATGAATGTAGTCTCAGCTTAAAACGGAAGCGTAATGCTGTTTCGACAAGGGTATAGTAAAT